AGATCTATTAGCCCTGGAGCCAGGGCCCAAATATCGACCTGATCGCAGGCGAAGATTTGATTGTAAAAAGTGTATGTTATTCTCAGCAAAAAGAACCTTATATGCCGTTAAAGAGCCGCTGCTTTAAAAAATGGCGGCTGATTTAAAGAATATTAGGGCAATAATTTGAGGATTGAAGCGGGAATTCCATTGCGGAAAATGTGAGCAAAGTATTTATTTCTTTACCTTGTATATATGGGTTTAGACATGTAAAAAACAAAATTTCTGACGCGGGCCACCAAGGGAAAACATTTTACAGCCTAAAAAGTCACATTTTTTTTTTTTTTCACCTATATTGACACTGCTAAACAATACATAAAAGCGAAAAATGTATTCTTTAATTTATTAAAGAACGTTAAATTTTTCGTAAAACGACTACATAAACTTTATAATTTGGTTACGCGGTAAGGTGTAAAACCAAGGGGCAACCAACTCTGATTTTTAACAAATTTGTCACAAACTGAGACAAATTACTATAAATGGCACTTTAACTTGGAAATGAGTTCTCTTAGTGAAAAAACTCATAGAATCAAAGTTGCAGAGCATCAAATTTTGCGTCAACTGAGGTCGATTTTTGGACTCTGGCTCCAGGGCTATATGGGGAAACTTCAAACATTTCGAAGGTTTTGAGAAATATAGACGTACCGTTTCAAGTAACAAATGATTTGATACACAAATACATGGACATTCAAACTGTTTCAGATATTGCAACACAATACTCTAAAAACATCTACTAAAGACTGGACTTACAAACTGGAGTCCATTAGTCTAAACACTTATTTCACCACGAACCCGTACACCGCATCCCGACGACTTGTAAGGCGGTGGCCAAGAGATTTACTAACTTATCCCCTACATATCTGTAATATGCACACATTTTCTTATTGAAAAGCTTTGTATATGGCAAATTTCAAGCTTACAAACATATGTATTTTATTCCTATAAAAAATATTTTCATTGAAGTTCCCATAATTTTGTAATAAACCATATTTTATTTTATATTTACAATATAATTATAAATTCCTCTTTGATTAATTTATTTATTTATGTCTATCTAGCCAAAGGTCATCCTTTTGCAAGAGAATACTAGGTGCTAAAAGATTACCCATCTTAATTTATTTTCCCATTCAGATCTATTTTGGGATTCTCTCATTAATGTAATGCCTTTTTTATTTTTAATTTCATCCACTCACCTTTTAAATGGTCTATCCTTCTTTTGTATTGATTGGGGTTACATTGTATATGGACCTTTCTAAGGCAATCTTACATCATTTCTTCTAGCCAGTTGTCCTACAGAATTCCACATCACCAAATATTTGGAAACTAAATAAATAAATGATTTACAATTTTAGTGGTGTGAATCCGAAAATAAATCTTGAGCAAGAATCAGTTTGGAAACTTTAAGCCTGAACAACTGTGTTTCATATGGGGTAGGTAATTTAAAATAAAATTTTTTAGTAAGTTTTAGGATGAATAAATCACCTCTGTCTTTTTTTTATTTTTTTAACATAAAATTAATGATTTATAAATGGTATTAAAATCTCTAAATCAAGTAATTATTTTTTTAATTATTAATTATTTGAAGCACTGACGGATGTACGAGGGGGAGAGAGGATCTGTAAGTGGACCAAAAAAATTATATTTTTTCATTATTAAAGATTTCTTTATGTGAGTGATCTAAGATAAATACTCGTTCTTAAACAAACACAATGGTTGGTTAGTTCTTTTGATGTTGTAGGCGCAAAAGATCTAGGTCATTAGGGCCTTATCCATAAAAATATTATTATTAAACACAATGCATTCCCCTTTTAAATTATAGTATCAAAAGAGTATGAATTGTATAGCATAAATTATATTTATATAAATCCATAATGAAAGAATAAAAAAAGCTCTGCAAGAATATAGAAGTGAAAATACCAACAATAATAGCTCATTATAAAGATGATGAAATGCTGAACAGTCTCCTTGCTTACTGTATGCAGGTACAATTTTTAGTTTGTGAGATATTTTAATCCATATTGTTGATAAAACTCGTTATAATTTTCGCAATCATTTTTCTTTTTAACACGGTGTCGTGTTAAGATACAATTTTGAATTATATTCTTGCACGGACGGATCTACGGAGCTTTCGGCTTTCGGGCTGAAGCCGCCCCCCCCCCCCCAAAAATGGTAAAATATAACCACGTTTTATCGAAAAAAATATTAAAAAAGTATCTCTTAAAGTATTATTGTTCGTGTAATTACATTTAAAAGGGCTTTAGGAATCACTTAAACACTATTTCATATAGGTAATTTCTTTCTTTTTTTCCAAAGTAATTATCGTTATTTTTATGAAAAAAAAACTTTCGGGCTAAAGCCCCCCCAAAAAATAAATCCTAGATCCGCTAGTGTATTCCTATACAGAGAAGATGAATTACTGAACAATTTTCTCCCTCACAGTATGCAGACCAGATTTTTAATATCTGAAATATTTTAATCTACATGTAAAAACATTTAAATTAGTCGACTTTAGCCGACTATACCCGAGTGTATGTATGTAATTTTATAATATATAAATAAAATAATAATAAATAATAAATAATTTTGGAAATTGACGGATCAATCTAATTCAATCTCCACAAAAAAAGAGCAAAAAGATTTTTCCTTTTAAAATATGAAAAAATGTTTATAGAGAATTTTAATGTAATAACTAAAATTAAATAAAAATATCTATTTTATTATTTTAAAAATATTTTAACACTTTAACCTTGGTATATTCTGTTAGGTTTTAGAAATGGAAAAAGTTTTGTCTTTGAATGTACTTTTAAATCTAGCCTGTACAGGAAATGACTAATGTTTTTTGCACGTAGAGTAGAAAAACTAATAACTTAAAGAGAGAGGTACATAAGATAGAGAGAGAAAGAAAGTACGGTATAGTCTAAATGCATTACCTCAGCTCTTCAACCCAACCTCCGATATGCCTCTTCTGGTCAGTATTATTTAATATTTCAAGATGTGTACTTGTGTTAACGGTCGGGCCGTGCGTTTTTTTTATTTTTCAGTTATTGTTTTCTATATTATTTTTGGTGTTTTTATTTTGTTTTATTTCTGTAAATAAATTTTTAATCGATTATCGTGTGCCTAAATCTGTATTTTAATCGATGTTTGTAGTTTATGTAAGTATTTTATCTTAAAAACTATGTTTTACTTTTAAGTATATAAAAGAATTATATTTTTTATGTTAGCAAAAAAAAAACTACTTACCAAAAAATGAATAAAACAAATTTTAAAATTTATACAATAATTTCATAATTAATAGCTCAAAAGAAGATAACCTTATATATTTATTTTTCCTTCACAAAAATTAACATTATCTTGCTTTTCCCTACAAAAATCATTATTTTTTTTTTTAAACATCATTTTGATCTTTTGTAGTATTATTCACTCATTTAGTGTAATATTCCTAGCTTTCGTCATCATCGTTTTCACCGCCATGTTAATTTTCATAAAACTGTAACGATTAATAGTTAGTTAAAAAACTGTAACAGATGCATAAATCATTTTATTTTAGATGGTTTTAAAGGCATGAGTGATGCGTACAAATAATGAAAAGTAGCAACAGTATTTGATTTAATATAATGATAAGATGGTTTTATTAAATGGAATGGTGCCGAGATAGTTTCTCTTCACAAGGCCCAAGAACTTAAATTGTTTTCATCCTTATCCCCTATTCTTTTTAATAATAAAAAAAAAAATAGGTGTTTGAACCAGGGGTGCCCATCCCTTCCCTCCAAGATTGATGATGTAAGAACACTTCTCCTCTCCCACCCAAGATATTTTATTGGTCACCTTTTCTTAAAAACAAAGCAGGCGAAGATAGAATTTAAAAAATCGTAGATCATATAAATTACACTTGCTGCTTCTTCCATGTTTTATGTATGTTACGTCCCTTAGTCCGAAAATTCATAACCCTGTTGAAATTTGACCCCCTTAAAAATTTTGACCCCTAGTTGTGATTATTTTTTTCCTAGAAATATTTAGACTATTCAATTCGGCTTTCTCTAGACTACAATACGATACCAAAATATATTTGTAAGTTATACTGTTTTCTCCTGACTTTTTTCTGTAATTCGAAATTTATAGAGTCGAATTTTTTAAAATTATTTTATGAAAAGTTTTATTCCTATATCCTCAGAATTTAATTTGTACTTGACAGCCAACTCAAAATGTGGAATATATGAAAGAAACGGTTTTTTTTTTAATCAACATATTTTTAAAAGAAGAAATCACCATTTTGAGAATGTATTTCAACAAATATCATAGAAACTGTTTGAAATGAAGGTGATTATTGTAAACTACTCATAGGAAGATAATTTTCTGCAATGTTCACTACAAAAAAAGTGATTTCTCCTGTTCAAAGACCTTAAACTATTAAACGATCTATCAAATCGTTCAATAGTTTATCAGATCTATCAAGACTGAAGCAGACTTTGATATAATTAACTACACAAAGTAGTTATTAATAATTATCAACGTATAGTTTTTTCGTTGATATTTTCCAATTTGTACCATCGAGCGTTGTCGTTTTGAATTTTTTTTTATCGGTGCAAAGCCCCCCACCTTGGCAGACATGATTTTTTGACATTTGTGGTGTAGGCAATTTCATGTTGACGTGACGAAAAATCATTTGAAATTTTTTTTTTTCGAATTTAGGGCGCAATTCAGAAACTTTCCAGTTGTCTGACTATTGCAAATCGAATGCTGCGATTAGACCTTATAAGAGTGTATGACTAAAAGTTTTCTTCAAATAAATCACAAAACACTCTACGTCTATTTTGTTAATCCATAATCCTATGTCTTGTGGATTTATGATAGTATATATAAGTATTTTTTTCAGTCTAATTTTAGATTTTTCTAAATCAAAATTGAAATATTCAAAAAGTAATTTTAGACCTCGGTAGGTAATTACTTTATAATTCCAGTGAAGGATGGCGTTATAATTTCGCCGGGGCAAGTTGCCGTCTTTGGAGCGGCTAGAAAGCAGACCTTATTTTAGAATGGAGGTTGTTGAACCTTGAAGTAGTTCCTCCACTTCTTGCACTGCTCGTATAAATGGCGAAGGTGTCCTCCTTACTGCTAGCATAAAGTATTTGAAGGTAATATCATGAAAGATTATTTATTGACAAAAATCTGTATAAATGTAAACTAAATATCTAATGGAAAATTATCGTAAACTGGGATAATTAAACCAGTAATATAAGGGATTATAAAACTTGTAAGATAAGAAAACATTAATAGCAGCTAATATTCTTGGTACGCAACTTTATTTATTGAGCAAAAAATATATTTTGCCTCAATGATATTGAATTGTAAGAGACTCATTCATAACATATATACAGTAACGAAAAGAAAACTTAGTAAAATCTTGCAACAGTAAGGCGCTTTTGGTCTTGGTCTTGCAGAGTGTAAGACCAAGACCGATTTAGTGCTACAGTCTATATTACACTGTCTATATTACCTAGCTACAGTCTATATTACACAAGTCTTTCCACCGCCATCTTGAAAGGGATGTACTTTTACGTGTTCCATACAAATATTTAAAAGGCATCGAGGAAACGATTTTAGGAAAGTTTCATTGAAATTGGTATATACAGTCTGTAGCAACACAGTTTTTTCAGCTCCCATTTTGAAAGGAAACAGCTGATAGTAATGTTGAGGTAGGAGGATCATCTTCGGATGACCTCTAGCTTTGATTGCAAAAAAAAAAAAATCGGTTCAGTAGTCTTTTGAATAAAATACGCGGACAGACAAAATGTTTTAAATTCGATTTTCGAGTTCTACGTATCCTGAAACGTAAAACCTCAAACTTTGGGGCGGTGTTAAAGTTCTTGACGATTAGAATGGTTCATTATTGAAAATAATAAGCCAATAAAATAAAAAGTACTATCACTGTTATCCTAATATTGTTTTGTTTTTCTATTTAAGAAATATAAAATTGATATAACTTTATCATATGGGAAAGTTCTTACAGCAAGTGATTTATGTTGAATTTAGGAATGATGGATTGAAGTATGATAGCAATTTATTTATGTAAATTTTTACCCACACACATATGTTTTCCAGAGGTCTATGGTTTAGAACACTCTGCTATCGTGAGTGGTAATATATATAATATATATATATATATTTTAATGCATTAAAGTCCCTTAAAATGCATACGATTTTGCAGTACAATGAAGTCCATCCCATAAGGTTAAAATTTTGAAAATTTCTAGAACTCTTCTTTGGGGATAAAACAAAAATGTATATTTTTGAGTTATTTCTCTATTATGTTCATCGACTTCACAATAAGTAAAATTTAACTGCAATATTTCTTAAACTTTTTTTTCTTTCATATTTTAAATCCATTGTTTTTGAAGGTACTCAATAGCGAAAAATATTTTTCGAGCATTATATAAGTTGATTTTTTCTTTCATTATGTTTTTTTGTATTTACTAAATCGGTCGACTTTCTGAATAATTTTGGAAATAATAATTTTTTTTTTTATAATTTGTTACATTCAGTAAAAAGCGTAGATTCGTCGAATTTCACGCTCCGAATAACTAAATGATTATTAGAAAATTATGCAAAAAAGTAGTCTATAATAGATTTGCTTAATTTCGGTTTATTTAACAGGAATATCAATATAGAACAAAAAAAATATGTATGCTTTCCCTAAGATAGTGTAATCGAGCATGAACCTATTAAGGTAATTTATTAAATTGTATAAGTTTTTTTTGGTCGAAATGTCCTGTGAAATTAGGGGAAAGTAATAAAGACCACTGGTTAAAGTAAGCTTTTGGAGAGCCAAATTTATTAAACATGGACGCCTATATGTTATTTGCAGAACCTTTCAATGCTAGGTTCAAAACCTAATTTTACATGTTCAACAAACCTTTTACCAAGGGCACAGTCAGCTAAAAACCGAAGGTTGTAGAAATTAATTTAGGTTTTAGGGGAATTATTTTTTATTAGTATAATCCAGTGAAGACTCTCCAATAGATAGCAATCCTTTTCTGAAAAATATTTTATTTATGAAAATTTTCGGAATTTGGGCGTTTTCAATCTGGATATTGGCAAACTATGTAAATAGACCTAATAGAAATTAGGTACTAAAATCTAATCGATACCAATTTTCTTTATACTGGAATCGTAAGATAATATGATCATGAAGTAAAAAAAAAAAGTTGACCTACAAAAATATTATGCCGTTTGGTCTATATATCCCCGTCATTTTAGGGGGGGGGGAGGTCACGCCAAACGGCTCAATATTTTTGTAGGCCACTTTTTTTTTCTTTTTTTTTGTTTTGTGTTATTATCTTATAATTCTAAGACAATGAAAATGGGTATTCATGTTTTTAGTTTCGGACGATGTATTAAATAAACTTTTTTGTTGGGAATTTTGTTTATAATCACCTCCCAGAGTTAGACAATTAAAATTTGAATCACCCTGGATATAGTATAGATATCATAATTAGTTTTTTCCAACGAGTTTTAACAATATATAAAAATTTATATTAACATTTTCTTCTATTTCTATTTTTTTTGTACATATAGTGTGAATGTCATCCTACCTCACTATAACCAATGTCCAAGAGACAGATTGTTTTAATACTCAATAAAGGAAAAAAATATATATATATTTTTTTCAGAAGTCTGTCGTTTGTACTTGTTCCTATTTTATGTAATATATTTTTCCAAGTTCAAAGGGAACAGCCGTTCTACCTAAACCTCCCGGAGATATTTGTATTATGTATTATATTAATATATACTTTGAAATAATACATACACACGCCAACATTAGACAGAAGGAAAATTTTCTGTTGAGAAATGATCCTGCATATCGTAATCTTAAAAATTTACACAACTCATTAATTTTTATTGCTGCAGTTAATCACAACCTGTGATAAAACAGGTAAATAAGATAAAGTTAAAGAATATTTAGCAATTTTGTAATTTTTGCATATCTTCATAAGAAAGATATTTCATACAAACATATTTCTGTGACTTTAATTTAATAAAAAAAATCATTATACAGTACACTGAAGTACACCTCGTAATTGGAAAAGGAATGTATATACGTCGCTGGGATAGACATTATTTTATTATGTTTATTTTTTGTTTATCTTGGTTACATATGAAATGTTGTAATCTGATATGAAATATTGGGATCGTGAAAATGTTAGAATCCTAGTATTTAAAATTAATGTACGTTTTTAATTAATAACCAAATAACCGGGTCTAGATAAAATCTATGTGTGGTTTATTTGCATGAATGCTCAGAAACAAAAAAGATTTTGTTTTATTGATTTTATACATTTTCAATATTCCTGAAAACGGCTCCAAAGATTATAAGCATCATATCGATATACAATTAAAATAATCTTTTTTATCAAATAATATTGAAATCTAGGAAAAAAATACCTGAAGATAGGGAAAAAACTTCAGGAAAAAACGTTTTTAAAAAATAATTTTTCTATTTTTTTTTATTGTTTTAACTTAAAAGTAGTCATGAGATTATATTTACATAGAAATATATTACATAAAATACTAAGTACCGTTAATTTTTATTTTTCGTATTTCCAAAACTCCTAAAAGACATAAACAACAAACTGAGGTTTTACAAGCTATTTACATGTTTGGATTATCATGTCGTTTTTATTAAATATTTTGAACTCTTAAATTATTTTTACTTTGATGTATTCAGCGTAATTAAAGAATACTTTATCATCATAAGTTCTTGGACAGAGAATCCATCTTCGATATAGACTTTGTCAACTCCTGAGGTAAATTTATCCTTTATGAAGAAACAGAGAGAAAGTAGCGAAGAAAGTTGAGGCAATTTCCATGTCCTTGTTCTTCCTCCGGTCCCTAATCCAACTCCTGGCCATTCATCGCCTCCAAAGAAGCTTCCTTCAGGATAAAGGTATACTTTATTGTCCCTCAACTCAATAATAATTATGTTTGATCACTAACTTTCCACAATAACAAAGAAGAGGAACAATGCTTTGTGGAATGTAATTAGAATTTAAAACAGTGGGTTACGCCCAGTGAGGTTATCTGCTAGTTTGATACCTGAAGGAAGTTCCTAAGCTCATCGATGGAATTATTTGATTATGGGATTGAACTTACATTATGCACAAAAAATTATATGACTTCAATTGAAGCGTTTTCAATATGGATGGGGGCAAACTTTGTCTATTAGGTACTAAAAACTCGTAAATACACATTTGCTTTCTACTTGGATCGTAAGATAACTTGATCACAAAGTCGACAAAAAAGGCAACCTTAAAAAATATTGAGCCGTTTTGCGTTATCTACACCCCCAAATTTTCAAAATAAGGAGGTTATATGGGACAAACGGCCCAATATTTTTGTAGGCCACCTTTTTTATCGATTTTGCAATCAATTTATCTTACGATCGAAATAAAAAAGGAAAAGTTTTTAGTACCTAATTAAATAGACAAGGTTTGCCCCCCTCCAGATTGAAAACGCTCCCAATTCCAAGAGTTTTTGTAAATACGATAGTGTAAGTTACGATGAGATGAAACTATTTATGAATTTTCAGGCGGGTATTAATAATTCGATAAAAAAGGGTCTGTACCACGGACAACTACATCCATGGTTCAAATTCATATTTTTGATAAAAATCCTTACTTGAAGGTGGTAAATTTATTAGTAGTGCACTCCGGCAATAAAATCAAGCAATTTATTATTAAATATTGGCTTGCAACTCTCAATGTTTAATTGTATTGTCTGTTTTTGTTTCGACTTATTATTAGTTTCCTGTTAATTGCACAGTTTATGTAATTGTTTACAAAAATATTAAATATCAACATCTAGACTATCTTCTTCCAATTCGGCATAAATATCACTTCAATTCTATTTCTAGACAATTAATGTAATTTATATATAACTTTAAACTTAAAAATCAAAACAATCTCTTTTGAAGAGTTCGCCAGATGAATCGTAAACTTGAGTTGCTGCGTGTTTTTATGGTTCTTTTGACCTCAGAGGCTCTTTTTACCTTTTTTACTTTCTACATTTTCCAGACCTGTTCAATAAATAC